TCAGTCTCCAAGAGAAGCGACGACAATGCCATAATCGCGTGCGTTGGCGTCCTCATCTCATGATTCATGACAGCAAGGAAATCATTCCGAGCATGGCCTGCCATTTCTGCTTCTCGTCGTGCCAAATCTAAATGAACATTCTGTTCCATGAGTTGATCCCTGGCTCTCATAGACTCCTCCAGTATAGCAGCATGTGAAAGAGCTACTGCCACCTGTTTTAATGCTTGAAAATCTCAGATATACAGAATAAGATTTCTAATATACAATGCGATGAAGTAAAGCAATTAGGAATTTAGAAGACTATGCAATATTAAAATGCCGGTAATGAGAGAGAAGGAATATAAAAAAGGACCTGATCTGCTACTACATCAACAAGTTCCAATTCGTGATCTCGCCATTTTCTACCAGTGTCGGTAGGGAGGATCAAGACCATGATGGCATATCTCTTTGCAGAAAGATCTGGCCAATTATTGATTGGAAAGTCTGAGAGATGCAAAAGAGGAACTCTCACAGCAACCACCTCAGGTGATCTGTATCTTCCAACAACAGGTTTAATAGTGACCAGGGGACATGTGTGTGGAACCCTCATCGCTCGAGGGCTATTGAAAACTTCATTAACGATAGGAAGGTTTGTCGGGACGCAGGAGCTAACATGTGCACCACTCAATGTGTGTGAAAGTTGAAGATGAAGACCACATCTTGAGGGCATCCACAGTGCACATTCCTCCAAGCCCAAAGTTCTTCCCAACTCCACAAGAGTGGTCTTGAGAATGGTATGCCTGTCAAGCGTGCTTCTGATCTCATGAGTTAACATCCTGACATGCCTCCCAGCTTCTTCTTGAGTAAGAATAAGCCCCATTTCTCTATCAAGCTCTTCAGCCCTGATCTTGAGAAGACGTTCCCGAGTTTTGACGCTCATCAGATCAGGGATAATGTGAACGAGCATTAGTGCTGTGGCGCAGGATATAATAGCACACAAGGCTTTAGCCATTGCCATGACCATAGCAATACCTTTAGAGGGCAGGAAGAATGTCCACAGGCTTACGAAGTGAGATGCTCCACAAAGAATAATGAAAGCACCGAACTGGATAAGAACCCATCTGTATGGGAAGAATGCAGACTTCTGAACAAAATATATCAGTTCCAAAGGAATCGAGAAATACGCAAACGCTATTAGAATATCCGAGATGTACTGGTATTTCGTGAGAAGTCCATCCAGGGGCCAATTCTGTGGCTCAAGGCAATCGCAGGACTCCATAATAGTGTAGCAGCCTTCTCAACAAATCTCTGACAACGACGTCCTTAGCACACCTTATTAGCAGAAATCAGCACAAAATACGGGATCTATTTAGAATTCAGAACCAGGATACTGTCTTATAAAACATCAATACTCACAACACAATCAAACATGCGCAAAGACTATACCGAATATGATTCAAATGCCACAAAGCAAAATTCTTCACGAGGTAATTTTGAATTTATCAGTGCAAACACATACAACAACGGCCCAAAATATACCTACTGTCGAACCAAATGTCCAAGATGAATGTTTTCAACAAGCAATCTAATCATGCAAACCAAAAAGACTTAGCAGTATAATAAGCACGCGGTAGAAAACAAAACAATGAAATCATTCTTACCAGCCAAAGAAATCGGCGAAAAGAAACCGTAGCAGCGGGAGAAGTAGAAGAGACAAGGGCGAGTAGAATGCAGAGTTAAAGCCAGTAACGTTGTCACGAACAAGGAAGGCTACCCAGTTTTTCAGATTATGCTTTTCTCGCAACTCCAGTGCTGCTTCAGTATATTCAAGTCACAGTCCCACAAAAATTTCAGATTGGTTGGTGTTCATAAATATGATGATAGAGCTAAGTGTGCGGACGGATCTTCTCTATCTCATGTTTAGGAAAATATGGATTGTTTTATATGTACTCTCAGACGTGGAGGAAGGGAAGGGAGGAAAAAACTGCTTATTTTCACATATGGATAAGCGGATCTAGAAGGTTACTTATAAGTCGTTATACAGTTTGCTTTTTAAGTTTCATACAGTGCACTGATCATTAACAATGGAATGGATGTGGCTCAAATTCACACAAGAATGCTTCGCATGAATGAGAAACTAATGGAAGAATCAAATTATGTTGTCTGTTACTGTTAATTTCTATGGCCTTTTTTGGAAGAATCTTGATTGTTTGATTCTTTCGTTTTTAAAAATTGATCAGGTTAAGTAATAAAATAAGCAACATTAATTAAATTTCTAATATGTTAATATGTTGAGATAAATAAGATCAGATACAGACGAAAAATCGTGTGATAAATTAGAAAAGAACAAATCAAGTTGATACCCCACGCAAAGATGCATAAGCCGAATACTGAAAGAGAAGATTCGTAGCCTCATCCTCTAAATCACAATGCTGAGCTATGTTCAATGGATTTGAATGATGGTTATCAAGTAGATATAACATCGCCATCTATCGGGGCGGAAAAAAAAGGTTTGCTAATATTTTCACCAAAAATTCAAGCACATGCAGTTGTTTTTTTTTTTTTTTATTTGACAAACTAACACTAGGTAAAATGCAATCAGATTTTTGTCCAAAAAAGTGCAATCAGATGGGACGAGAAAATCTTAAGGTTTTCGCATGTAATTAACAAAGATAAAAATAAGATGCTCAAAACACATGAGAAAAAAAAAAAAAAAAGAGGTGGACCCTAAAGTTTGTATGACTAGGGTTCAACCGTGGTTTCCCGTCGCGTCTTGGGCGCAAAACGACCGAACAAGTTTCATACAATTAAATGCAAGCTTTATACACCGTAAATTATACTCGCTACTATCTCTAATATAAGAATTACGTTATAATTCATATACTCCTCTGGTCCTAAATGTAAACCTTATACTAGAATGTAAGACCCTTATACACACTAGTATAGGGTCTTACATTTAGGACCAGAAGAGTATTATATTATAAAGTGATTCTTATATTAACGATTGAAAAGTAATTAAGTACATGAAAAGTAATTTTGAAAACACATTATAAGTGCTTCACTCCCCATTTAGAATCACATTTGAAATTAGTTATGAACACATAAGTCGAGAAAAAAACTTATTTCGTATATTTATCTTGTATTATGTAAATCTAGACAGAACAACTACTTATAAGTTTATTCCAAACGATAATTCTGATTAAAGTCTTATGCCATGCATTGTGAAAAGATTTTACAAGGGGCCTTGAGCCTTTTTTATATACACACACACACATTTGACCTGATTGAGCCTTATATAATAAGTCAAAGGTAGTATTAAATGTAGGCGTTGGTTATAACTAAATGACAACACTTTGGATGGTAGGACAGACGGATACAAATAAATATAATACGAAAAGAATGTTATGACTTTTTTATATGTTGACTGTCCATCTGTCATTTTCTGAAGCGGATAACATGTTCATGCATGTACAAAGGAGATTGTGCATTGTGGGCGCATGTTAAACGTCACCGGCGAAATTTACAGTCAAAAAATTATGTCTGGGATTTTTTTTCTCCTGCCATCAAAAGCAAGTTGATATGTTCCGTGGGTGGTTTAGTACGTATTTGGATTCCACTTTTACCAGCAGAATTTTCCAAAAACAGAAAGTTGTAACGGGCGATTACTTACTTTTCAACCTTGGTTTGCAGATCAGAAAACGACACAAGCTAGTTTTGGAAACACAAGTTAGAGTAGCTTTTGGCAAAAGTCGGTTCAATTCTGCAGAAATCCGTTTCATTAACGGTGAACTAAACACGTTCTTAGATTGAGCCGGTTAGAGGAGGTTGACACCCAGGCTTTCAGAGGGGCCTAGTCAGCTTGGGCTAAATCTCAGGTTCAGGTAACGGAGCCTTGCCTGTAAGTTTTGGGATGCCTCTTCAAAGGAATTCTGACGTCGACAAATCCAGATGAGTAGGAAAAGGGAAATGATTCGTCCAAATCCCCAATAAAAGATACGAAGCACTGAATCAGACACTTGAACTACAATATTGGCTTTGTGGTTCCTCGCATTTCAACTCCGCATTATTGGACTGAGACTTCATCGTTATCCTTTTCCTAATTTCATGGTAACTGCACAAAATTTCCCCGTACAATACCAGTGTTTAGCAAAACAATCTTCAACTTTCTGTCTTTATCAAAACGTGAATGGCGTGGAGGCCGTGATGCTTTATGCTATATGACAAGTCCCCTGCACGCACCAAAATATGTGCTCTCTCTCTTGCTGGCCGCGGCTAGAAAATGATAGTGTAAATCTCTTGAAGCTTTACGGTGTGAAAGAAAGGGGGCAAATTTTAACCATCGACACAGACAAAGCAAATGCCTATGATGTCCCCTTACGAGGACGTAGTAACAGTGTTCTGAATAGGAATTATTAGCGCTATGATTGAGAGTAAGTGTCAAGTCTAGCAGCCATATAATTGAGGCTGGTTGGTGTAAATCAAAATCTTCGTGTGGTATGATTCTACAATAATTCGCAGTGTATAATTAGGCAGCATTTGTATCTCTTGAAACAACGAAAATGCTTGATGCAAAGAGAAAATAAATTAAATATGTTTTGATATGGTGTGAATACCTTTTACTGTTTGAGCTTTTTACAAAATTTAAAGACATGCATATTCATTAATATTTGAAACGAGCCATTGGACTGCCTGTGCAAAGGGCATGAACAGGGAACTTATTACTGTTAGGAAAACATGGTTCATTTCGGAGAATATTTTTTGAGGAACAATCAACCAGTGAGGATTTCGTAGCGTTCCTTTCAGTTGCCAAATTATATTGAGTAGTCGACGAAAGTGAAGGCTCTGTTTCATGAGCCCATGAACAGAGTTATCATTAAGAACAGCAATAATGCAATGCAACCAGTAGCTGCAACTTGAGTACTCCACCCACTCGTGTTTGAACTTTCTGGCGGTTATAAAAGGGAACCTCTTACCACGAATTAATGCATCCCAGACCAATCTTTATCAGTTGCAGAGAATACATGGTCACCATGTTGCAAAAGGCTCTGTTATTTCCTCTCATTTTTGGCTTGAGCTCATTTGCTTTTATCCAAAGCCAAGAGTACCAAACTTCTTCTTTGACCCCCACCTCCTCCACCCTCAAGTACCACGGAGGTCCCCTCCTCACCAGACCAAGAGGTGTCAATGTTTACCTCATATGGTACGGGGCCTTTTCTCGACCAAACAGGGCCTCCATAACCGATTTCTTCGCCTCCTTCAATCCTTTGAAGAGTCATCTTCCCCACCAAGAGCCTTCTGTTGCTGCATGGTGGAGAGCCATCCGTTCATACCAGGACAGCTCTGGCAAACCAGTCTCCACAACTGCTAGACTTATCAAACAAGTAGGGGACATATACTCGCTAGGAAAGAAAATCAAGCGTGCCCAAATAGCAGCCCTCATCAAGAACAAGATATCGAACAAGATATTCCCATTAGATTCGAATGGAATATACTTGGTTTTGACTGCTAAAGATGTAAGCGTGGAACGATTCTGTATGGGATCATGCGGCTTTCATGATAGCATCCAGGTATCTGAGAAAACGAGAGTTGTCTATGGACATGTGGGAGACTCATTAGCGCAGTGCCCGGGCCTGTGCGCATGGCCTTATGCTATTCCGGAGAATGGTCCGCCGGGAAAGGCTCGTTTGGCTCCTAACGGTGTGGAAAGTGATGGTATGGTTATTAACATCGGGGCTGTATTGGTGGGGGCTGTGACTAATCCTTACAAGACAGGGTACTTTCAAGGCGATGCCTTGGCGCCGCTTGAAGCTGTCACGGCGTGTTCAGGGATTTTTGGGGTCGGAGCTTATCCGGGGTATCCAGGTGATTTATTAGTGGATAAGTCCAGCAACGCAAGCTATAACTTGTATGGTGTAAATGGCAGGAAATTCCTTCTTCCTGCTGTATGGGATCTCCACAGCTTCAACTGCAAGGTTATTGCTTGATATTCAGGATTTGTGTAGACGAATAGACAGAACTTGGCTAAAATGGGCGTCGCATGCTCCTTGCATTTCCTTGAGGGTAAAGAATGTGTATCTTGCTATCCTCAAGGTGAAAGGAATAATTTCATGAAAATAAAACAATTGGTAAACAAAATAATCACACAAAATGCAGTTGCCGTAAGCACTAAGCAATACGGTTGGGCCCCTGAAGCTGATGGAATATCGCTACTCGATGCGTGGAAATTGTTCTGAATGATAGGATATGCTTGGTTTAGCCTTCGTTTTCCTCTTGCATTTTTTCTTTGTTTGAAGTTGTGCTTGCCTCAGGTCGAAAAAAAAAAATTGTGCTTGCCATTTTAATTCCAAACCCAAAAGAAAGGAAAAAGAAAAAAAGGCACCCCTGGTTCTGTCTCTTTGCTGTGAAGTACCGCACTGGCCGGTGCTTGCGCTGCAAACAAACGAGTCCCCTGTATTACATGCACACCTTTTGTTAATGTCGCTGTCTTTCTTATGGGAAATGGCGTCGCTTATGAATAGATCGAACTACTATTTTATCTTGCAAAAGTAGTACTCCTAGGTTCTGAAAGCAGCAAAAATTAAGAATTTTTAATTCAGCCATCAGCCGAAAATTACTTTCACCTAAAGTAAACGAACCATTGATTGTTCCTTAATCTGTCGGCCAATAGCCAAGTCAACAGCAGACCAGCTGCTCGTACAAATCTAAGAAAAAACACCTAATACTTAAAACACCTGAATTGCGCAAGAGGTAGAATGGAGAAAGAGTAGCGACGAACATCATGGCCAGAAAAATGAAAAAGTTCCTTTATTTGTGTCAGCAAGTTCCGCATCACATTGAATCCTTCCAAATCTGTAGGGGCCCCTCCCTCAAGAATACCAATTTTGGACGTCAAAATTTTAACTTATTAAACCAATCATTCCTCGACCCAATCAAAGGATGGGGTTAAAAAAATAATACTTCAATGCAACAGGGAACTATCCCTGAAGCTTTTACATAAACCTAATATTCGGTCAATCGGTTGGGCCAATCATTTTCTCAGGCACCACAAGAGTGTCAAATTCTTCACAGGTTAGTACTCCAAGCTTCAACGCAGCATCCTGCACAATTAGTTTTTCGTCAATTTCAATATCTCAGACAAGTAATTGGGAAGCCACAAATGTCGTACAGAAATCCATTATAAAGGCATCAACTCCTTTAGATTAACATCTTTTCCCATCGACGGCAGACAAAATGGTTGGGCCAAACCAATACTAGAGTTGAAATTGGTGTGCAAATAACTTTAGATATGCTTAAAATGGAATTTAGTTTGTTCGTAGCTGATGTAGGTAGACAGAACAGTAAACTTTATGTATACACATCTAGAGATCAAACACAGAAGATCAACAGAATCTCAAGATTAACAAGGATTTTTTTTTTTTTTGGGTAGTCAGTGAGGGCTAATGAGAATTAAGAAGATATTATTACCTTAAGAGTGGTTCCCTCTTTGTGCGCTGTCTTGGCAACTGCTGCGGCTTTGTCATAACCGATTTTCTGAAACCGAGGCATTAAAGCTATTATTCAAAAAGATCATGAAATTAAGGAAGCTACACAAATTTAGACGAGTAAAAACTTACTGGGTTCAAGGATGTGACAAGCATTAGTGACTGCAAGGAGATTTAAAAGGTCAAACAAGATAAATTAAATTGGGATATAAAGGAAGGCATCAATAAAGATATTTTGTGCAAGCCACAACTCACCTCATGCAATAATTTTGAAATTCTTTCCCTATTAGCTTGAATACCTCTTACGCAATTCTTCTCAAAGGAAGCTGACGCATCTCCAAGTAGTCTAAGTGACTATCAGATGAGAAATAACAAAAAAATTTTATGAGTGCATATGCTACGTAACATCATAGGATAGGCCATAAAATAAGTTGTAATTGGGGATGAAGAGACGATGAGGATGAAACATACATGCAGGAGACAACTTGCAATCATCGGTTTAAATACATTGAGTTCAAAATGACCGTTTGCTCCACCAACTGTGATGGCTACATGGTTTCCCATGACCTGGAAGTTAAAATAAACTGTCACTCATAACTTTATTCTAAACATAACCATAATCACTACAGAACTGAAAATGCATGAGTAAGGGGAAAGAAATAGTAAGTCTCCGTTAGAATATGAAAAATAGAAGTAGAAATAGGGGAAAAGGGGAAGAGAAAGAGTAGAGAAGAAGAACTCTAGAACCAGAATCTGTAATTCTAGAGAAGAGAGAAGAAGAATGAAAGAAATAGAGAGAAAAGGGAGAGACTAGAACCAGCATCTAGTTCTAGGGAAAAAGAGGAGACAGTTAGCGAACTATATAATCATTCATTCATTCATCCATGTCATTGATAGAATACGTCTAATATTTATAGCCTAATACAGTAACTGCAAATAACTACTCTTTCCCAAACATATAAAACTGACATTAACTGACATTATCTTAAAATAACCGACATAGGACATTTGTAAAACTGACACTAACTTAAAATAACTGACATAAGACACTTATGATGGCTAATACAAAATCACAACATAAAATAAAAAACACAATCCTAGTAAAGGGCGCTAGTTCCTAGCAGTCTCCAAGCCTATACACTGCATGCTTTTAGAGCTCAATTGATCACTATTATCTCATAGAAACCGGACAAGTTAATCTTTACCTGTGCACAGACCATTGTGAGAGCCTCACACTGGGTAGGGTTAACCTTTCCCTGTACAGAAGAAAAATGATGCGTCCCAGTCAACATGTAATAGAACTTACATGGATCAATAAGTTATATCAAACAAAAATAAACAGGCTTATTTTGAGAACATATGTTTAATAAGGCATGAGGATCTTACAGGCATAATACTGCTTCCTGGTTCATTTTCAGGAAGAATGAGTTCACCAAGGCCACAACGAGGACCACTATAGTAGGACAACATTATAAGAATTCACAGAAGAATAAAATAACCAATTTGTACATTATCACAATTCTTGCATGCCAACCTTCCTAATAAACGTATATCATTTGCAATCTTCATTAAAGATGTTGCAACTGTGTTGAGGGCTCCACTGGCTTCAACAAAAGCATCGTGGGCAGCCTGCAAAGGGACAATATGAAGTCATGGCGGTGCCAACGTTTTGCAACATGTGATGCAAGATTAAGAGCACAAATCAGTCAAACAAATCTGGCTTACAGCAACTCAAGGAAAATAAATTAGTTTCAGCTACAAACCAAGGCCTCAAACTTATTTTCTGCTGTGACAAAGGGCAAGTTTGTTTCCTCAGCTACTGCTGCTGCTATGTTAACATCGAACCTAAAATGACAGCCAAATAAAGTCACACACGTTCTCTTCAACATAAAGAAAGTATTGATTTGCCAATATAGCATCAATTCAAATGCACAGCTTCTATAGAGAAATACATACTATCACTTTGAAAATACAGTTAAAATTCAATTTCAGGAAATACATGCTACCAGTTCTAAACATAAGTGCCTATGTGCACAGTCAGTCAATGCATATAGTAGATTTCAACAAATTCTTCTTGTATAGGATTGTTTATAAAATAAGACCAGGCCTGATGAAAAGCACACATACAACTGAGCAAAAGAAAACTTCATCTATTATAATCATTTTGGAAGATTATAACCATGGTTGACATTTCAAAAAACTTGGGGGGGGGGGGGGGATGCATCTGAACAGCAACCAAAAATCATATGTACCCCTTCTTTGTATTCAATCCAGTCCCAACAGCCGTTCCGCCCTGTGCCAACTGCTCAAAAGGTCCAACCAATTAGTGCCCTAAAAGACTATAACCCAACAAATGAAAGATATATCAATTAACGTTTGTGCTTGGACATCTAACCTGATACATTCGGGGCAAAGTGCACATCACTCGATCAATTCCATACTTCACCTGTTAATAAATGAAGAGAAAGTAAGAAATTAAGCTATAAGTATCAATCATGTACTGTCCATTCAACACCAGACAAGACATCATAACAAGAGGAAATTAAGCTTACTTGTGTAGTATAGCCACTAAACTCCTGCCCA